CCAACATTCCAAGTGGCCTAGTTATAGATAAGAAAGTGGGGGCCAGGGTTTTGCAGCTGGTCATGAGCCAATATTTCCAAGGCCAAGCCCAGTTCTTGCATCAGAAATGCAGATCCAGGGATTGGAAATGCCTCCCTTGCCTTCTGTCATATATATATACTAGAGGCCCCGAACACGAAATTGTGCGCAGGTACGGTCCCTCGGCCTCGCTTGTGATCAGGGCCATCTTCCCCGGCTGCTGGCAGCCGAACTGCCAGCAGCTGGCCCTTCCCCCCGCCGCCACCCACCCCGGGTTCCCCATTCCCCATCAGGCGATTGGAGCCTGCTGGCTGGGGGGAGGGACCGAGAGGTTGGCCATTCCTGCCCACTCGTCGGCCCCACCCCTGCCACCGGTCGCCCTCTGTGTGTGGGAAACCGGTGGGGCAGGGGCCTTGGCCTGGTGCCACCTGCATCCCCCGCCACCCACCCCAGCTCCCCGTTTGCCACAGGCGATTGGAGCCTGCAGGCGGGGGAAAGGGACCGAGAGGTGGTCAGTGCACCTCATAGTGACTGGTCGAGCAGTCATTCTGGTCACTGGGCTTTTATTATGTAGGATATATTTTTTTATTTATTTCAGAGAGGAAGGGAAAGGGAGAGAGAGTTAGAAACATCAATGATGAGAGAGAATCATTTGATCGGCTGCCTCCTGCACACTCACTGGTGGGATCGAGCCTACAACCGGAGCATGTGCCCTTGACTGGAATGGAACCTGGGACCCTTCAGTCTGCAGGCCCACGCTCTATCCACTGAGCCGAACTGGCCAGGGCCTCCTTTTCCTTTTCTGTAACCAGCACTGACATTCAGAGACAGAGCATTGGACCCTGTGCAGCAGGAGATGCAGGGCCCTCCTTCCAAAGGTGTCCAGAGTGTCAGGGTGGTGGCCCGGAGTTCCCACCCTTGAGGGGCCTTGTGAGTGGAGCGCCCTGTGGGACTGCACAGGTTCCTGCCTGGGCACACTTTCCATTCCTCAGCATTTTCTTGATTTCTGTGGGGGTTCGTGTAAGGTCATGGAGACCGGCCTTCAATGTGTTCTGGTAAATGAGCAATCGAGAAAAGCCATTCTCGGGTTTAACAACAAAGTTAAACAATGGGGGGTGGGGGACCCCCTTGTTTATTCCTTTATTTCCCCCCACAAAAAGTTCCCGGTAACCATGGCAACCAGGGCTCTGCAGCCATGCCTCCAGGCCCAGGATGCTAAGGCTGTGCTTCTATGAGCAAAACTGTGGCTTTGCGTTTTATAAATGCTGAGATGCTTTCCTAGGGTTTCCAGTTTGTCCCAGAAAAAGGGACACGAGTGTTAGATATCATGGGGCTGGCACCTCAGCACACAGGCAGCCTGATCAGCGTGACAAAGGGCTCTCGGTGACAGTGGAGTGTGCGTGTGCTGTGTGTGTGGGCATCTGTGTCTGTGTCTGTGTGTTGGGGTGAGAGACTGCTGCTCTTAAGAGTGTCATGTTGTGGGGGTAGGAGGAGGGAGAGGAGGCGGGTTGAGCGCATTCTTTCTGGAAGGGTGAGTAGGTGGGTGGCTAGCTGGGCCTCCTGCCCTGGGGGAAGTCAAATAAAAAGCAATGCGGAGGGGGTGGACGTGGGACTGAGTGAAGTGGCATTTCCTGGCCTGGGGCCTGGGGAAGGAATGCTGTGGAATTTATTTAGAAAGCTTTCAAACCAGCTGGTTATGGGTTGTTGCTTTTTTCTTTCTTTTTTTATTTTTATTTTTTACTATTCTAGTTTGTTGCTCTTGTTCTTTCCAAAATTATAAGCATGCTTTTGTGGCTGTTTGATCAAAAGCAATGTTCCCAAGAGACAGTGCCCTGAAATTCCAGGAAATGGAATGTGACTACGAGAAAGATGATGCCTGGTTCATGAACGGGGATCCTGGGCCTTAATTTTCAAAACAAGGAGTTCTTTACAGTTCAGGGACAGGAGGCTCCTGCCCCCAACACTTGTTAGATTCTCTCTTTACAGTTTCTGGCCACATTACTTTTGGAGGAGAGAGGTGGTGGTTTTGAAGTAAAGGAATTCCGCTTCTGAGTTGAGTCACTGATTTCCAGCGGTTTGACCCAAACTATTTGCACAATTTAGGGGACCCCAGACCTTATGTTCCCCTCCCCAAAAGCACTCCGATTGCAACCGTAGCAAACAGGGCGATTTTAGGCTTGCCGCAAGCATGGCGTTTTCTGCTCTCGTGTTTTTCCATAGGACTCAGTGTTCATAATAAATGGTGTCAGCGGCAGGGTCTGCCTTTTCTGAGACAGGAAGGGACAGCACGTCCTTGGTCCTTGACATTGAATGTGGATGTAAATTCCTGCAAAGTACCTTGGCCTGTTCCCCCAGCTGAAGACTCGGGAGCCCAGAGCCCAACCCCTGCAGGAAGCAGATGGGGAAGTGCCTGGGGCAGCCTGAGGGGATGTCAGCAGACAGCAGACATAGGGGTGAGCCTGATAGAGAAGGGTCCTGGGCTGGTCTTTGTGGTCTTTCTTTGTCCTTCTGCATCTCTGTATCTGTGTGTCAGAGGAACCTGGCAACCTTCCTTAACCACTTTTCACAGTGTTCTCATTTGTAACCCCTGAGCCTGTCTTCACAAAGGTGACCTGTGGCCTGCCCTCCGGCTTCACCCTCCCCTGTAGACTTGGGTGTTCGACCTGCTGTCCTGTCACCCAGACATGGGGCCTTCTGTGGTTTTCTTCTTGCTTCTCTTACTGACCATCTGTGTCATCTCCATTTTCTAGGGTTGGACCTTCCTCTTCTCTATAATCTTCCATGGTTCCCATTGCTCCGTAGCATTGCTCTCCCGTAGAACCAAGAATGGGCCACATAGGTATTTTAAGTTGTTTAGTAGCCACATTTTAAAAAATTTAAAAGAAACAGCTGAAATACATTTTAACAACATATTGTAACTCAGCTCCATATACCCAAAATAGTATCATTTCGACATATAGCCGATATTTAAAAATTATGAACGAGATATTTCACATTCACAGTTTTAAAAGTACTTGAAATCGAGGGTGTATTTTACATCGACGTATCCCCAAATTACATGCCAAAATTTTATCAAAAACATTCAATCTTGATGCAGAGTTTATTAAATTTGCTGTTGCAAAAATAGATTCACCTACCGGAGGTGTCCCAGACTTACATAAAAGTTTTCTAGTAAATGAATTCCATATTCAGTTTTCAATTTAGATTGCTTAAACTTGAAAACAATTTGAAAATTGAGTTCCCCAGTCACACTGGCTGTATCTAAAGTGTTCAACAGCCTTGTGAGGCTGGTGGCGACCCTATTAACCCAAACAGACAACGTTCCATCCTTCCAGAACGTTCCATTGGACAGCACAGTCTTATAAAGTCCAAACACCCCAAAAGGACTTTCAAAATGTTCTACAACCCAGCCCCAACCCGAGGAGCTCTACGTATTGACTTTGTCTTGTGCGTGTCCACTTTCCGGTGCCTCTCTTTCCTTCCACTTTGAAATACACGCCCTTCTCTTCCCCCAGAGAAGTCTTTTTTCATGCTCGGCTTGATGGCAGCGCTTCCTCGAAGGATTCTCCCCTTCTCCCCGCAGCAGAATTAATTGCTGCCTCTGCTTCCCACGGGTTCTAGAAGACCCAGCCGAATGGGAAGGGGCCGCAGGCCCGTCGGAGCCCCCAGGGCCTCCGGACCGTGGCTCGCTGCCCTGGGAGCTCATATCCCCATTTCTCCTGAGACAGGTTTGAATGGATCTCCTAACAGCAGCGTTGGCCCTGCCCCGTCGGAAAACAGAGCCACACAAAGGACGGCACTGTGTCCTCTCCGCGGCTGCCCTGGGGCTGTGAGCATGGGCCTTCAGACAGGAACACACCCTGGGTACAGGCCATGTAATTCTAGGCGGGCATCGGCTCCACCAGAAAAAAAACCCTTTCTTTGCCCTCACAAAAGGAAATGTGGGCCTGGCTGCTCTGATACTCATTTTTCAAAATGGGAACTCTGTGTGTGTGTGTGTTTACTTTTTAAAAAACTGTAACATACATTCAGAAAAGTGCATAATCGTACAACTCAGATTTTCACAAAGTTAACGTACCCATGTAACCGCCCCCCCGATGAGGAAAGAGAACATGACCAGCACCCCCCAAAAAGGCCGCCTTCCCACCCCATTCCAGACTCTTCGCCGCCTCCTCGGAGTCACCACTTTCCTATCTTCTAGCCCCATGACTCATCTTGCCCGTTTCGGAACTTCGTGTCCAGGGCATCACACTCTGTGCATTTTTGGCGTCTGGCTTTTGGGCAGCACTCTGTTCGCGATAGCCTGTGGTTGGTTTCGAATGCCTTTGTCTTTTCTGGCGTTGGAAACTTTTTTTTTTATTGATTGATTTTTTTTTTTTTTTTTTTTTTTTTTTTAAAAAACAGAGAGGAAGGGAGAAGGAGAGGGATAGAGAGTTAGAAACATCGATGAGAGAGAAACATCGATTCAGCTGCCTCCTGCACACTCCCTACTGAGGATGTGCCCTCAACCAAGGTACATGCCCTTGACCGGAATCGAACCTGGGACCCTTCAGGTTCTATCCACTGAGCCAAACCAGTCAGGGCCGGAAACTTTATTTGTAAAAAAAAAACACAGCGGTTCAAAACGCAGAAAAACACTCAACGTGAAAGACATGTCCTCGTTGGGTGGTGGTTTGAAGTGTGAAGAACCTTCTGCTACAGTTCCGTTCGTTGATGTTTGCCCTTGGGGTTTTCTAGGTTTGGGCGATTTTCGGGTGTCATTATTTACCTTTTATCTTTACTTAGTGAATCCTGATTAAGGTGATAATTCTTGGGTCTTGAAAGGATGTGAACTCCCTTTCTGGCTTTTGACCAACGCTGGACGTGAGTCATTTCCTCAGATTTTCTTTTTGTCAGGTAGAAACTTAAAGAAGAGGGTGGAGAAGAGAGAGAGAGGGATGCCAATTAAATTGCTTATGTGGTGTCTTCTGGTTTTGCCTTAGGTGAAAATGTCTGCTCCAGGATTGTACCAGGCGGCCGCTGGGCCTTCGTCAATCCCCACCGCGCCCCCAACCTATGAAGAGACGGTGGCCATTAACAGTTACTTCCCCACGCCTCCTGCGCCCATGCCTGGGCCAACCACGGGGCTCGTGACTGGCCCTGATGGGAAGGGCATGAACCCTCCTGGATACTACACCCAGCCCGCGTCCGTCCCCAACGCCAATCCAAGTACGTGCGACCTCTCCGCCTCCCTGGTCCCCCTTCCCACCCTGGCCTTGGGGGCTCCGTGAGAATCCCAAGAGCGCCTCTGAGTCTAAGCCAAGTCAGTCCGATTTTCACTCGTATGAAATGTTACATACAGTCCCTTAGGTTCCGCATCGGTGAGGCCCATGGCTTTTCCATAATAAAGTACCGTTTATGAGCTTTCTCAAGTCCGCCATAAATCAACCCTTTGGCACTTAGACTATGCCAGAGAAATCTGGCAATGACAGTTTGCTTTTAAAGACCCCACCCTTCCCGCTGAGATCTGATAGAAGCTCTGGGCGCTGAGTTCAGGGCGGGAGTAGGAGAGGGAGGAGAAGCAGCCCCGAGGGAGGAACGGGGGAGTGAAACCTGCCCCAGCCCACCAGCGCACCCTATGCAAAGGGTGCTCCCCTGCCTCCTGGCACCTTTATTTTTATATCTGCTCAGGGTTTACTATCCAAAGTATATGAAGAACTCATACAGCTTAACACCAAAAAGACAACCCAGTTAAGAAATGAGCAGACAACCTGAAATAACACTTCTCCAAAGAGGACGCACAGATGGCCAGCAGACAGGAAAATAGGCTCGTTGTCACTAACCATCAGAGAAACACAAATCAAAACCACAATGAAATATCACCTCACACCTGTCAGAAGGGGGGGGGGGGCTTTCTTTCGAAGCTTGTTCTCTAATCATTGCCTCCCAAACTACTTGAAAAGAAAGCACATGTAAAAAAGTATACCATGTGTAGCGCACAGAGGGCCACATGGCTGAGGACGCGTGGTGCTACCGGGAGCAAGCTTGGGGCTCCGTCTGTTGGCACCTGCAGTGCTAAACTCCGGGGCAATCAGGATGTGGGCGCACCGGCATTCATTTGTGTAGCCCAGTGAAGACACCAGTGTGGACACGACACATACAATCAGGTGTGCAAGGAGAGAGTCACTCCCTTTCCCGTGGCACCCCATTGACCCTCACACCTCTTAGGTCACCACTCTCAACATTGAAGTCTCCCTCCAGCATTTCTCTTTGCAGACATAATGAATACAAATAAATGTTCTTGCCACTTCCTTTTCTTACAGAAATGGTAGCATGCTATACACCTGCTGTGTGTGTATATGTGTATTCTTTTGTATATATTATTTTTTTTCCCTACTCAACAAAATATCCATGTGAGTACACAGACAACTTTTTCATTCTCTTTTACAGTGCCAACAGAGTATAATGTCCAACTTTAGAAATTTTGCCAGCCTGGTCAATAAAAAATTTTATCTTAGTACAGTTTTAAATTTCATGTACCTTAGAATGAGGGAGGTTTATCATCTTTTCATTTGTTTAAGCCCATCTGTATTTCCTAGTAATAACTCCTCTTTTTGCGGAATGAGCTGAAGCAGGTTCCTATGGTTGCATACTGTCACGCGGTCAAACCCCTTTCTCCCGGAAGCCGGATGTTTCTTCATGCTCTTATATCGATATCGGTCCTTGAAGGACCAACGTGGAAGAGCTGGATTTTGCCCCAAGTGTCCATCCTTCTGGAGAGAAAGGAAAAGGAGTCAAAGGTGATGGGAGGTGGGCTCTGCCTCAGGCATTGGCTCCAGCTTCCCAGACTTCATCGAGTTTTGCTGTTAAATGCTTGAGTTGGGAACAAGCAATATAATATGGTGGCCTGTTGATCATGATTTAATAACTTCACAACATCCACAGATGTGACATTCTCATATCCTTTTCCTTTCCTCTCTTCCTGTCTTCTCTTCTTCCTTCTTCCTTTGTTAGTCCATGCCTGTTATTCCGGGTTAGAAGTCTGACAGGTCTCCCCGGGCTGAAATGAGGGTCTAGGCGGGGCTGCCTTCCTTCCTCTAGGCCAGTGGTTCTCAACCTTCTGGCCCTTTAAATGCAGTTCCTCATGTTGTGACCCAACCATAAAATTATTTTCGTTGCTACTTCCTAACTGTAATGTTGCTACTGTTATGAATCGTAATGTAAATAACTGATATGCAGGATGGTCTTAGGCGACCCCTGTGAAAGGGTCGTTCGACCGCCAAAGGGGTCGCGACCCACAGGTTGAGAACCGCTGCTCTAGGCTCTAGGAGAGAACGCATTCCCTTGCCTGTGCCACTTCTTGGCTCAAGGCCCCCTTCCTCCATCTTTAAAGCTACACCAGCAACCCAAGTCCCTCTCACTATCACATTGATAAGGGCAGAAATAGAATACTGGGGGCCAGCTATGATTGTAAGAAATATTAATCATGCTCTGTTAACCATGATGGTTTTGTTCTGATTAAAGAAGGCACATTCTAACCCTGCTGAGAGCTCACCTGGAAATGCAGCCCTTCCTCCCCATCAGGGAGCTGCCTATTATCATGGCAACATTAACAACCTTGTTGCAGAAACCAGAGCTACCAGCCCTTTGAAGACCCCCAGCCTTTGCATACCCACAGGCAATTGCAGATCCCCAGTCCCCATTACCTGTTGCCTACTTCCCCATGTAATCTTTGTCCTTCTACCCACTATCAGCAGCTGGCTGGGGTGGGGGGCAGAGCAGTTTTTTTGTGGGTGACCTGCTGCTCTCCCAGCCTGCTGGCATTCCTGGAATAACTACTCATATATGACTCAGCCCTGTCTCTGCTTAATTGGCTCAAGTAGTGACAGGCAGCCCGGATCCATTGATTGTCCGGTTACAGCATCACATCGTTGCTTCATGGCCTTGCCCTTGGGGACTTCCTTCCTGCTGCGGACACAGCTGATTCAAAATCACGAGCAGCTCAGGAGGAAATCGCCAGGTCAGAGAGTGGTCCCCGGAGTCTGCCCGGGACCTCACTCCCTTGGGCCTCAGTTTCCCCATCTGTAAGTAAGTAAGGGCTCATCAGGTACCTACACCAGTGAGTTCTTAAAATGAGATAAAGTTTTATGAGTAATCATTTCATAAAGGTGCTCAAGTAACTTGAGAAGGGAGAGGACAAGATAACTTGATTATTTTAGATCACTCTCTGCTCAGTAAATAACTCATTCTTGCACCCCCCCACCCCCCAAAGTCTTAATAAAACTGACCCGTAGGTACTAGAGTAGGCTTCAGTGCTGCTTTTCTGGGAGGAGCCTCTTCTGGTCCTCTGAGAAGTGTTAGGCTCACTTAGCTCTGGGCGGCCGTTCGTTTCCTCTTAGGGCAGTGGCATTCTGACAGCCCAAGGAAGGACCAGGAGGAAGTCCCTGTGACAGAAATATGAGCTTCAACAACTTTGCCAAATACCAAAAAGAACATGTAAAGCTCTGAGGGCTTTGGGACTGACATACCTAGATTCTGTCCTGATTGCGAATGTCTGTACACGTTGGCCCCTCAAAGGACATTTCTGGAAATCTGCCACTTTCCTCTTTCTCCCTTTTTGTCATCCCCCCTATTTTTTTTAATATTAGATTTGTGTGGGGTTTTTTTTTAATATATTAGACTTGTGTGTTTTTTAATAGCGCATACATGTCAGAGCAAAGTGCTGCACGTACAACTACAAGTCATTTTGGCGGGGAAGCTTGTGAAAAATAAATCCACGGGCGAAGGTGCTCCCGCCCCTGGCAGCGGCTTCCTGGTGGTGGCTGCCCAATTTCTGCAGCCTCGGGCCTCCCCACCTCATTTTTTAAAATTCTGGTAAAATATACAACATAAAATATATCATCTTAAGCATTTCCAAGTACAAGTTCAGTGGCACTAAGTACATTCATATCGTTGTGCCACCACCACCACCACCACCCATTTCCAGAGCTTTTCCATCTGGCAAAACTGAAACTCCATTAGCTCCCCATCCCCTATCCCCCAGCTCCTGACGACCACCATCTACTCTCTGTCTCTATGCATTTGACTGCTCTGGTGCCTCCTAGACGAGGAATCCTGCAGCGTGTGTCCTTTTGTGTCTGGCTTATTTCACCAAGCATAACATCCTCACGGTTCATCCATGTTGCGTATGTTAAGGCTGAGTCATACTCCATTGTATGGATGGACCACATGTTGCTTATCTGCTCCTCCATCGATGGACATTTGGCTCTTGAAATAGTGCTGCGGTGAACAGGGGTGTGCAGGTAACTGTCGAGGCCCTGCCTCTACCTTGTCTTCCAGCAGATGTTTCCTGGTTCACTAACCGGGCTCTCTCCTCTCCCTCCCACCAGTTACCGTGCAGACGGTCTACATGCAGCAGCCAGTCTCTTTTTTCGACCGCCCGGTCCAGATGTGTTGCCCTTCCTGCAACAAGATGATTGTGACCCAGCTGTCCTACAACGCCGGAGCCCTCACCTGGCTCTCCTGTGGGAGCCTGTGCCTGCTCGGGTAAGTCTGAGGTCCACTCGGAACCCCGGGCTCTCCCACATCCTCTCTCGCAGGATTTCCCAGCTGTAGCACATACTTCTGTCTTGTGGGGTGCCATCCTACGCATGTAGGGTGTTGAGCAGCATCCCTGGCCTCTACCCACTGTGTGCCGGTAGCACCTCCCCAAATCGTCATAAATAGGAATCGTCTCCTGTTGAGAACCGCTGCTCTTGAACATATCAAAGCTTGGAAGCTGCTGTCCCATCATTTCTTCTTTTTTGTTTGTTTGTTAATCCTCACCCGAGGATATTTTTCCATTGATTTTTAGAGAGAGTGGGAGAGAGAAAGGGAGGGAGAGAAGAGAGAAGGAGGGAGAGAGAGAGAAGGGAAGAGAGAGAGAGAGAGAATTATCAATGTGAGAGAGACACATCAATTTGTTGCCTCCTGCACGCACCCCAACCAGGGATGGGGATCGAACCTGCAATCCAGGTATGTGCCCTTGATTGGGAATCAAACCTGAGACCCTTTGGTACGAGGGCTGATGCTCTAACCTCTGAGTTACACCAGTCAAGGCCCATGATTTCTTCTTACTCATCTGCTCACACCACTCCCTGTATATAGTGACCAGCATAGCATCCACTTGCATCTGTATAGCGTGATACCTTAGGGATTTCTTTTTCTTCTAGAATTTCATGACCTAAATAATAACGTTTGCCTGACTCTGAGAGAAGCTTTAAACATCTGCACGTTAAAATACTCGATAGTCATCTCTTTAAAATGCCTCATCCTTTTATGAGCCCAAGTATTTTTCCCATTGCCTCCACAAGGGGATGTGTAAATATTTATGTCTGCACCAAGGGTATTTTATTGAAAGAGACAATAGTTTCTGTTCTGAGAGAAACCTGAAGATACACAATTTAATTTCCCCCCCAAAACAAATAAAGGCAGCCTCCTGATTCCTGGCCATGGGCGCTCCCCAAAAACCATGGCCAGGAGGTTGAGAACCACTGGGTTAGGGCCTGACGTACCTTTTTGGCCTCCACCAGCCAAACTGCTCCAGTCGCTAACCTGCTCCGCGTGGGCTGTGTCTGTCCCCCAGGTGCATCGCGGGCTGCTGCTTCATCCCTTTCTGCGTGGACGCCCTGCAGGACGTGGACCATTACTGTCCCAACTGCAAAGCTCTCCTGGGCACCTACAAGCGTTTGTAGGACTCGACCGGACCTGGAGGGAGCCGTGCGTGGCAGGAAGTCCTTCCCGACTCTCACCCGCTCCACCCCCGACGGAGGGTCCACCTCGGTGGTCTCATCTCTCCGTCTCTTTGTGTCTTCTTTTTGGGGGGAAATATCGCAAAATCAACACACTTCCCAGACCCCAGAAACTGCTGCTTGGAGTCGTGCACAGGACATGCAAAGACATTGACCTTGAGGACTGGGTCAAGGGCTTCCCGCCTGCCCACGACCCAAGCCGTCCGTCTAACTGTGATGGTTGCCCTGCCTGAATACCTTCTGGTGATTGGCCTTGCCAGCTTCTTTCTCACCTCAGTGGGCCTTTCCGGTGGCGGCTCAGACTGAGAAGCCACAGGTGGCCTTATTTTTGAGACCGTTCTGGCCTGAATAGGACTCAGCCAACTGGGTCAAGGGTTTCCCACCTGCCCACGACCCAAGCCGTCCGTCTAACTGTGATGGTTGCCCTGCCTGAATACCTTCTGGTGATTGGCCTTGCCAGCTTCTTTCTCACCTCAGTGGGCCTTTCCGGTGGCGGCTCAGACTGAGAAGCCACAGGTGGCCTTATTTTTGAGACCGTTCTGGCCTGAATAGGACTCAGCCAACCAGTGGTGCTGCCATCCCACCCATCTGTTCTCACGTCCGATGGCAGAAATCTTGCCTTAAGGCCTGGGCTCTCAGATTCTGTAACTGCAGGCTTTCTGCTCGCACAAAAATTCACTTTCATTTTCTACTTCATTTTTAACGACCTGGAGGGACCCCTCACAGCCCCCAGACCCACACCCACGAGGTCATAGATGCGTGCTAGGGGTACGGAGCTGGCCCTCGTCACTGGGCAGCTTCCCTCGGTTCTGGGTGCCAGACCCTCAGCCACTTTTCATGAAGGGCTTTTTCTTGTGGAGAAATTATTTGTATTAACAGTTTTTATGACCTTTTGGCCTTAAACACCTTGGAACATAATTTTGACAGAAGGGATTTATAGAACCATTTTCTGTGACCATATCATTGGTGTCATTTTCCCTTTTGCCAGGGCACTCCCATATGCATATTTTTTCCTTCATAGAAAAAGCAATGGGTAATCGCATCCCCTGCCTTTCCTTGGGTTTTAGTGTGGTCCTTACGAACCTCTATCAGGGAACTCAGAGCGGGGCCCCTTTGGGGATCCTGGGGGTGTGTGTGGAAAGACAAGGAAAAGCATGTGTGAGCACGTCGGGTACCACGGTGCTGAAAAGCTTGGGACCTGAGTGATTGCAAAGGAATCTAAAGTCTGATTTTAGTTTTCAGAAATGGAATTTGTGTATAACCTCGGGAGACATGATTTCTAGGACTCAAGCAGCAAGCCAGGGTTCTCGGGGGGCTGCTGTGTCATCTCTGAAATCAAAGCCGGACTCGACTTCCCAGAGTCCCCATTTTGATAATAAATAGGTCCAAGGAGTGCATGTGAATAATATTATTTAGAAATCAAGCCTCGTCCTTGAATGAAAATCTGTGTATCGGCTGAAAATTAGTCATAATCGTTGATTCAGTGTATCCGTTTGATGTCTTGAAAGTTTCAGTAATTATTTTCTCAACGAATGTGGATACTACATCGTACTTTGGTGTTTATCTGCTTTTAAAAAAATAAAGGCTTTGGTTCACTTGGTGAACTATTTATCAGTTCTTACCGTGCGAAGAAAGGTCTCGTTCTTCTAGCCCTCGAGACAAAGGACCTATATTTGCTCCATCGCAGTAGAAAGTCCTTCCGGATAAAAACTTCAGACCTACTGCGCATCCCGCGATGTCAAGATGCCGATGGATGTGGAGTTGGGTGGGTTGCTGGTGAGTCAGATTTGAACATTAGGCTATTGGAACTCAATAGGCGTCATCGATGGCAGCCAGCCACAGCTTTCAAGTTTTAATAAAACGCACAGAAGAAAGCTGTCCCCATTCATTCTCCGAACAAAACACGCTTTGTTCATTGGTCAGGGTGGTGGTGGACGCTAAAAGGAGAGCTTTGTCACGCGCAGGGAATGTAAATGTCATCCTCCCTTCCCTACCTGGCGACAGGGCTTCATTTTGGCAGGTGCAGGGAAATAATGTCATCTCGGTGTGGGGTATGTTGTCACGGAAACCCATCTTAGGGTCTTGAAAAATTGCTCCTCACTCTGTTCTGATGATGCGTTTTTCTTTTCACTTGACAAAATGGAAAGCCATGCATATTCAGGAGTTTGTTCAGATGGTGGTATAGTAAGGGTTTTCAAGCTGTTATTCATTACACATGCGAAGTCTTCAAATCAAGAGCCCTGCTTCAAGGACCATAACATATCCTGTGGGACTTTTAATGTCAGATGCCTGGAGACTCCCTCTTGAACCTGGGCGCACCTGAGCATTTATTGGACATGCCACTTTATTGTTCAATGTACAGGCTCACTCATATGTTTGTACAAATGAAAGGCTCTTTTGTTCTGCCACTGTTTGTTAGGGATGTTGGAGTTAGCTTGTTGCAAAGACTGAATCACATTCAATTAATAAAAGTGCTTTATATGTATTTGGACCTTAACGAAGAAATTTACCAATTTCTAAACCCCAAATGGCTGTGTTTTGTATTTACTGTTAGTCCATCTAGGTGAGGTAAGAGTTGGTTTGTGTCTTGTTAACAAAATCTACTCAGTTATTGTTTGCATCTGGCTAAGCCAACTTGAAGCACATGACCAATTCCTGGCAGATCACAGCACTGCCCATGAACATGTTTTTTCTGGGACAACTGGCTTCCCAGGGCTACCGGGAACACTTCTAATAGGCACTGAACTGTTTCTAAATGTGGCTGCAGACACCATGTGGCCCCGGTTTTCTTCCCAGTGACGTTAAAATCCTTCCGACTTCCTGGGGTCAAAGATCTCCGTTAGGAGTAAGTGTAGAGCTTGGGCTTTGACCAGGTTCCCATTTGCATTTGAAGCCTTTTAAAGTTATCTCCTGCACTTATGACTCACAGGTTTACAATGAGTCGTCTGTTTCTCAGAGGCATATGAGGGAATTGAAAGTAGACCCAGAAAGGGCGATGAAAGAGGAAAGGAGATTTTTAGTCCAAGAATTTTATAGAAACATGATTCTGAGGCTCAGAAAGATTAAACACACACACACACACACACACACACACACACTTCATGGCCAAGTATACAGTCCAGTGCATTAACTGTTTTGTGACTGTTCTCTGTAGTATTAGGAAAATGTTCACATGTTTAAGTACCCTTTGCCCCCTAAAAATAAACTTTCCTTAGAGCAGTTTTAGGCTTATGGCAAATTGAGAAGAACAGAGTTCCCATATGCCCCACACATGCCCAGATTCCCCCATTATCAAATCCTCCCGAGTGGCCCATTGGGCACAACTGACGGACCTACATTGATTCACCATCCCCCTCAGTCCATAGTTTGCATTGCAGCTCACTCTGGCGTATGTGCAGTTGGATAAATGTATAATGACGTGTCCATCATTACAGAGGCATACAGAGCGCAGCCCGATGCCCTGGAAGTCCTCTCTTCCACCTGTTCATCCTCCCAACCCCCAAGCCCCTGGCAACCACTGATCTGTTTATTGTCTCCACAGTTTGGCCTTTTCCCGAAAGTCATACAGTGGGAACGGTTTGTAGTCCTTGCAGCCTGTCTGCTTTCACTCATGCATTTACGTCTTCTCAGTTCATTTCTTTCTAGCGCTGAGTAACGTTCCATGGTCTGGGTAAACCACACATTTAAGTACTTTTGTTGTTGTTCATCTTCACCCGGGGATATTTTTCCATTGATTTTTGGAGAGAGTAGCAGGGAGGGGGAGAGACAGAGAGAGAGGAACGTCGATGTGAGGGAGAGACATCGATTGGTTGCCTTCCGCAGGTGCCTGCAACCAAGGTACGTGCTCTTGATGGGAATTGAACTGGGACCCTTCGGTCCGAGGGCCAACGCTCTAACCACTGAACAATCTGGCTAGGGCACATTTAAGTACTTTAAAGTTCTTCACACTGTAGTGTCTCAAGTGATCTTGTACCGGGTTTCCCAAATGGGCAAAATCAACTTAGTGTGTCAATACCGTGTGTCATCATAGTGTACGACGAAACCATAGAGTTTTGAAACCTGTGGTTCTACAGCTGTGTATGTGTGGGGTCACAGGGCAAAGGAAGCGCCAGGGGCAACATCTGGTACATTACACAGCTGTGGTTCTCCTGTTTCTCGCTGATTGACTCCGGCTGTATTCGAGGTGTTGTATGGCCCAGGTACCAAACCCAGCCCTGCCTGGGAAGAGTGAGCAGTGGGCTCAGCACTGCCCTGCCAACTTTTCTGGTGGCTTCTTTAAAACAAACAAACAAAAAACCCCACTGAAATTCGCCTAACATTAAAGTGTGTAATTCAATGACATTTAGTACAGTGTACAACCATCACCAAAACATTTTCAGCAGCCCACCTCCAACTCCATACCTCACCCCTCCCTGCCCCTCAGCACCTGGCAGCCACCATTTCCCTCTTGTTCTTCGGATTTGCTTCCTCTAGATCAGTGATGGTGAACCTATGACACGCGTGTCAGAGGTGACACGCGAACTCATTTTTTTGGTTGATTTTTCTTTTGTTAAATGGCATTTAAATATATAAAATAAATATCAAAAATATAAGTCTTTGTTTTACTATGGTTGCAAATATCAAAAAATTTCTATAGGTGACACAGCACCAGAGTTAAGTTAGGGTTTTTCAAAATGCTGACACGCCGAGCTCAAAAGGTTCGCCATCACTGCTCTAGATATTTCCTATAAACGGAATCATATACTATGCGGCCGGCTGTGTCTGGCTTCTTTCACTTGGCATCATGTTTCCAAGGTTCATCCAACATAGCAGGTGTCACTGCTCTGTTCCTCCCCACCCCGCCCCCCTTTAATATCTTTGATTTTAGAGGTGGAGGAGGGGAGAGAGAGAAAGAGAAACATCGATGTGAGAGCAGAACGTAGATGGGCTGCCTCCCGCACATCCCCTATCCGGGATCAAGCCTGCAACCCGGGCATGTGAAGAGAACCGGCAACCTTTCAGTGCACGGGACGTCGCTCGCTCAACCAACTGAGCCACGCCGGCCAGGTGTGTGCTTCTGTTCCTTTCAGTGGAAGAATAACTATGTTTACACCGTATTTTGTTTATGCCTCATCCACAGATGACTATTTGGCCATGCCCACCTTTGGGCTAGCACAAGTAATGCTGCTGTGACCGCTGGTTCACGGGTTTTTGTGTGGACGTATGTTTTCATTCTCTTGGATGTGGAATTGCTGAGTCATGGAAATTCAGTTCAACTTGTTGAGGAATAGAACCGGCAACCTTTCAGTGCACAGGACGTCGCTCAACCAACTGAGCCACGCCGGCCAGGTTTGTGCTTTTGTTCCTTTCAGTGGAAGAATAACTATGTTTACACCGTATTTCGTTTATGCCTCATCCACAGATGACTATTTGGCCATGCCCACCTTTGGGCTAGCACAAGTAATGCTGCTGTGACCGCTGGTTCACGGGTTTTTGTGTGGACGTATGTTTTCATTCTCTTGGATGTGGAATTGCTGAGTCATGGAAATTCAGTTCAACTTGTTGAGGAACTGCCCGGTGACGTCTTAAATGTTCCCTATTGCACAGCCACACCTGGCAAGGCTACCCATTTGGAACGGCCCTGGTATAGAGAACTTTGCCATCTCCCATCACGAGAGCCATCGGAGCAGCCTGGTGGCAACAGAGCTGGATTGAGAGCAAGA